AGCTGTGGACCAGTGTCCAGGGAAGCAATGGCAGCTCTGTTAGACATGAAGGCTGTCAGAACAAAGTCACCACTGGGTTTATAGCATGGAAGAGTTCTGTATTGGTCATAAATGATTTTCTATCTTTGCTTTCTCCTGAATTTCTGAGAACAAAGCCCAAGTTTTGCTCGTGGTGACTTCCTGTCACCAGTATGGTCCCCAGATTGTACAGCAACCTTACCCCAACGTAGACCATGTTGGATTTTATTAATTTTGTTTTATCAAAAAAAAATCCATTCAAGCCAAAGCTCCATGCTTTACAACTCTTCTTTCTTCTGAAAGAGGTCCCATCCCTTGTTATCACCATGTCTTTCTCTGAACTAGCCTTATCTCGCATATTATACCAGTCTCAGAGCCCTGGCAAGCACTGTTAGTCAACACTTTTCCCTGCGCATGAGAAATGCTAGATTTCTGAATCTGTGGCAAGAGCAGATGAGTTCAGATTCCTTTATAGTGCCTCAAAAAGCATTACTCCACAGTAAGACATTCGCTCAGATTCACCTTAGTCCCTTCATTGATTTTTTGTCTCCTAAATAGCAGCTGAGTAAGAAGGCAATTAGGTTTTAATGAATAAAATAGTTTACTTACCATCTGTAACAGCTGGAGCATCTCCACATATCTGAGGAAAAAGATAAACTTTTGTTATTTGCCATCAAACCAGTGCTGAATAAATAAGGGTGAATTGTGTAGCTTCAGTTATAGGACAGTAACAGTCAGAGTGTAACAATTAACTCACATCTTTTCTGTAGACATCAGCTCCTGTGCAATGAGGTAAGCTCTGGACTGGCCTTCTTTCTATCAAAAGCAAAACCAGAGACAATTAAGGGTTATTTCATGCCAGGAGGAAAAAAAACAGCAGTAGAGAGTATTTTGAACCGACATATTCCTTCAATAAAGGTAGGAACAAGCTTTTTATTCTGTGTTGGTCAGTGTTTGATGCTCTGGAGTCCCTTCCTTGAGAGGGTGCTTCAGCAATCCAAATACTAATAATATGATAGAATAGAACAGATGTTAACATAGATCTTAAGGTTGTAAAACTATATTCTTACTGAAGATGGAGAGAAAATTCCTCTTGATTTTCACAGGGCCAAAATCTGTCAGAGAAGCAGGAAGCACTTAGCTTTGAATAGGCTAACTTCATGACTCTCTAGGTTTATACCATTTGGTTAGTGTTCTTATGGAAAAGCGTGTTTTTTATGAAATGAAAGTACTCCAAACTCTTCTGGCTGCTGTGAGACCTGTGAAAGCAAACGAGGCAAAAGACTTCAGTGCCTGCTAAACAAAATCTGTAAACTAAACTGTAATATATACCTTCAGAAACCAAACTATTCAGTACTCCAGCAAATAGCACCCTTTGAGATCTCAGTGGCTTCTACTTGATTGGTAGATATCACAGAAGACACAGAAAACTCTGAAAGAAGCCAAGTGTATGGCTCTGAGACACAAATGTCTAATTGAGGTATTTTCCTCATATTTCATGACTCACTATAAGAAATGAAAAAAGAATTAAAATGTTTACTGAAATAAGTCTACTACAGGAAATTTGATTTATGTAGCAATCATAAGTAGGGAAGTAGAACAATAATTCAGCAGTAGGAAAGTGAAGCAGTCTCCAGTGATCTAAAGGAAGCACTGTGGGGAATGTGTTTTGCAGTGGGACCTTGTGTGCCAGAACAGGTATGGTCGAAACCCATTGCTTGATATATCCGGTTTCTGAAAGGCTACCAAGGAGAGACTTGAGGAGCTGTGATGCACCCCTTTGGGGCAATAGTCAAATGAGAAGTTCGTGACTATACCTCTGCCATGAATTCTACATGAGGAGGGCTGCTAGGAGTCAGGGGACACAGGCTGTAATTGAGCCCCCTTATAGAAAGCAGTGGCAGGACCCCAAACCTAGACTGCTGACTTCACAAATTACACTTGGTAGATCATATGCGTAGGGTTTACATCGTAATAGCAGATCTGAGCAGTAAAAATACCTAAACAAGTTCAAGGTAAATACATTATAGACTTTTTCTTCTCTGTCCCTCCTCCCTATTATCACTCCCTTGGGATACACATATTCTTGGACATATGGAAGAGCAGTGTCCAAGTTCCTCTAGATCCCATTACTGCTGTAATCCCTCTGCTACCATTTGTATCTACAGAGAGATTATCTTGTGGATTACAGAACTGTCTGCCACTCCCAAAACTTCTGTTTTATTCTGCCCTAAACTGAAAATAGCTAGGGGAGGAATGAAACATTTTCTTAAAGTGCTGGAAGTTGAAATGCAACTATGTAGGTGAAGCACAAAATCTCAGTTGCAAGGACAACTGAAACATAACCTTAGTTGTATTGTTGTCCAACAACCATACATTAAAAAAGAAGTATGTGACAGAATAGAAGCTTTATTCTAAAGATTCTTCTGGTTTTAATAATTTTATGTACTTATTTAAAAAGCAAAGAATTTGAACCTAATGTTGAGCATAATCGAGTGAATTCACTGCTGTCTACTTCAGAACAACCAATGACCAGTCAAAATTTAGTGTAAATAAATGGCATCATTGGCTCCACACATGAACAAAGAAAATGTTTCTGTTTCTATGAGAAGGAGCTTTGGCTTGACAATCCACAAGTTTTCAGTCTGGAGATGATGGAACTGTAAGAGGATTATGAACTGATCAGGGCGAATAGGAGGAAAAAATACACTCAACCCTGATGACAATGGGCTAGATGAATGAGGTTTCACGTGTAGAGATGAACTTAGTGACACAATGACCTTTTCATCTTTAGTTTAATTCTGTGTACTGTTGTTGGGACACAACAGAAGATTACAAGAGCCAAAGGAAATGAAGTGAACTGCTCAGTCTCAGATCCTCAAATCAGAGGTCTCAAATTCATTTTTTTGTTCCCTGGTGCGTTATTTCTTCTCGCTAACATGGGCCAAAGAACATGCTTTGAACCACTTGCTTTTGGAGAACTATTCCACAGTTAATAGAGTGAACTAGAAAGATCTGTTGTTTAAAAAGCATCTTACATTTCTTCCTTAATTTCACTCATCTCTTGGGAGCAAATCCTCCCATCCTATTACCCCCATTCCATTTTGAGAATACCATGGTGTGTCTCTCCTGGTTGTCCCCACTGCTGGGGGCTGCACACCAGAGGCTTTCAAGTTTTCTGTTTTCTCTCCTTTCCCTTTTGCAGGTATAACCGAGTAAATTAAGGGGGAGGTCTTTCTGGACCACCAAGCCCAGTGTTGGCTGTCCTGAACATCCTCTGTGCACAAGTCCTGCTCTGCACTGCCAAGGAGCGGAGTGCGTTTCCCAAGCAGTCCAGACTCATTCTCCCTTCACGTACACACATTGTCACATTCTGTAATTCCTCTCATGATTAATATGTCTTAGCTAAAAGACAAAACACTGGGACCACAGTGTCACATGGCCTGTCTCGAGCAAGTTTGAGACAGTGTCTCTAGGCGTTGCCTGTCTTGGTGTTATTTAATTGCTGTTTGTTTAACCAGGAAATGAACTCTGAGATTGACGACAGTGTCTGGAGACAGACTTCTGGGAATAGGGACTACAGCGGGTGCAGGTCCCTTAACCATCAAGTTTCTAAAACAAAGCCCAAGTGATGAATATAACACAGTCATCTCCCACCTTTTTAGTGATCTTTACATACTGCAATAAGTGTTGCAGTATGCTCCTTTGCAGCCTCTACTTCAGGAGCCAGACTCTGAGCCTTGCTGTATGCCTTTGCTTGACAGATAGAGGCCTTACAGCCATCTGGGGATGCTGACTTTCTGCCTTAATGAGTCTTCTTGTCTTATCACTTTGCCTCCCTAGAATCAAATGCTCACAAAATGCTTGCAATATAAAATACACAACTGTAATACTAACTGAAGTGTTGCTGCATTCCATCCACTCAGAAAAATATGCTTGTGCCTGAAAGGTGACTTACACAGAAACACTTCAATGAGGTTAGAGCTTGTGCTCAGTCAGGACAGCCTATCAGCGTAACTTGCTAAGCAAAGGTGATACTGTGCAGTCATCTCTTCAGATGATAATGAACCAAGCGCTACAGCTCTCCTACAAATGCATATCAAGTTTACTGATGGAAAGTTAAGATCTAGAGATGAATAATTATTTGTTTAGTATTTCTTCTTTTCCAACAGGATGTCTGTTTTGCAATATATAAGGAGGCACAACATCAGCAGAAAGCTTTGGCTTAGAACAATAGAGAAAAGATTATGGAAGGCTAGCAATGTTGAACATCTTAGCTAAGTCCACCACAACACCAGAAAACCTTTACTTTACCATTTCTACTTTCCTCAGCTTGATAAAGATAGTGTGCATGTCTGTCCAGGGACATTATATAAACACAAGGAGTGTCATTGACACCACTGCTATAAGGAACAATTTACTGCCTTTTGCGTAAAGGGATTTCAGAGCACTAGTATAGGCCCTAGGGGCCTACAAGACATATTGGAAATGGACCAAGCCTTTGACCATCAATCATAGAACAGGCTGGTTGTCATCTCTCTTGATGAGCACATTGAAGGTTAGGTCTTTACACTGTTGCACCCATGAGCACAACTGAAGTTGTGTACTAGTCTTAGATACTTAAACTGAGTAACTTTCAGGTTCGTGTCCCTCCTGTGCCTCATCCTGACAGAATAAGTCTTTGAGTTGAGAAGGGACGAGTAATGATAAGGGACAAGTACTTCTATGGAGAAGGGTGGATAACAGTCCATTCTGACTGTTCTATAGTTCTTTCAGGCTTCCCTTTTCTGTGTGGCAGTGATCTCATCAGTGCAGGGATGAATCTCCACACAAAGTCATTTACATACTCTGGCCCCTGCTCTGAGCAATTCCAAGGCATCAGACATGGGCATGCCTTGATGAAATTGGGCTTTGTTGATAGTGCCAGTCACTACTCGTGGAGCCCAGTGTCAGCCCTTAGCTGTGCTGATCCAGCTTTTTGCAGAACCGTGCTGAGAACGAGTCAGTGTCCTGATCTGGCCTGAGAAAAAATGGGACGGGGGTGGAGGGAATTCTGCCTCTTTGGAGGTAGAGCAAGGCTGTGTTGTCTCCAGAGAAACACGGGCAGATCAAAGCACCATCTTTTAGGACTAAAGCATTTGCACTGGGGAAGCCATTTATCTCAAGTACTCAAGGAATAATCCTTTGCATTTGGAAAGCTCAGAAAGCTAGCCAAGGCACAGCAGCAATGGCTCCATTTCTGGGTTTGCCACTGGGGACAGGGACAAACACTTTGCGTCTCTTCCTAGAAGTGCATCTTATTTTGCATGCTCCTCAGCACATATATGCTGTAGCTGGATAGCACCTGGCCCGAGAGTGTTACTGTCGCTATCACAAGGTGAAAAATGTTTGTTTGAAAACAGCAGTTCACATTGCTGTCAGTGGTGCCAGAGTAACTGGCACCAAACAAGTCACTTGTCCTGTCTGGTTCTGTGGATCAGTGAGAGAGCAGGAAATGGAGCCTGTGTCTCCAGTATCTCAATTCTCTTGTTTGAATGGCCTGATTGCAGCCATCCTAAGGAGTCTGTGCAATTGCGTAAATCAAAGGTGGTCCCTCAAAAGGCATCAAAATTAGGCACCTTCCTCAAGGCTCGGCTCACAATCCCAGCTTGTCCAGGGGTTGTGCATGTGTATGTGTGTGTTGTAGTATGTGACGGTTAAAGGTTAGCAAAACAGAGTGATTTATGAAGCCTGGAAAATAAGCCTACCTAGTGGATAGATAAGGAGTGGCAAAGGCAGTTTTAATAACTGTTGCCATGAGATAGTAGCTGTCTTTATAAGACCTTTGCGGCTTAGCCTAGTGTTCACTCTGTGCATGATGCGCGTCACATCAATGTGCTGTGCTGTTACTATCCCCATTTTCTCACACATTTATTTTGGTGTATGGGAGAACAGCAGAGCATCTCACCTCCAGTGCTGCCTTTTCATAATCCCAGCACTAGGAACTGCTACTTTATGAAGCTCTCCCTGCATATACCACCAAATAATGGTAATGAGCACCCATCCAGTCTAGCTAAAATTAGATGTAATAAACCTCTGAATCCTAAGTTATTAGACAAAATGCTTTGGTTTTTGATGCCATAAAATTCAGGTACACTTACTCTGAATTTGCTTTCTTTTATGCTCTGTTGCATTGGTTATGCTCTATCCATCTCACTCATTTGTTCTCTCAGTTGTCATTAGAGCGAGAAAATAATCACATTTCTGTACACTGGCTGCAAAACAATGCCATGTAACTTTTTTTTTTTTTTTTTTTGCATACAGATAGGTTTACTTTTGAATTTCCTATACAGTTGACTGTCAGGCAGATCTGTCTTCCGAATGAAAGAAATGTCTTCTGTGTGTTCCAGCTATGACTTCAGTGAGTCTTAGATTTGTTTTACTTTATTCCTGAGTGTTTAATAGTCTATAATTCTTACAGGTATCCAGCCAGATTAATCACATTCTTTTCTTATTTTTCTTCTGATTCCATTCTTTATTCAGGTCAAACTCCCTGCTGTGTTTATAGACAGACTGGTTTGAGAGAACATTTCTAATTCTTCTCTTGCCTGATGATTTAATGTAGGGCTTGCTGTATGTCATTCTTAACTATAATAGAGTTCTCAAAATAGTTGATGCTGCTACAGTATTTCCAACATTGCCCTGTTTACTCAGCTACTGTTTTCTGCTTCCAAAGGCACCCTCTGAATGAAGGCTCAGCCCCTTATCACTGTGGTGCAACTTGTGGATCTCAGTATAAATGCCTTCCATTGACTGTTGGGGGTATTTTTAAGCCTGTTCCTCTGTCTGATCCACACCATGTTAGCATGTGTGTGACATACTCTGGGTCAAGAAGCATGGCAGAAATAGTCTTGAAGCACAGCCTAAGGCAGCATGTTGCACAGTGCTCTTACATGACGCTCTGCCCATTTCTTCTGCAAGGTGCTGGAAAATTGAGCTCTTCATTTGGTGGCTAGTTTCCTGCCCCTTAACCATTCCCATGCTCAGCCCAAATCCGATGCCTCATTCCTATGTGTTTCTTGAGGCATCTTTCAGCAGGTGTTTTGGGCACAGCACTATGGAGCTCCTGCTGCATCTCCCTGCTGTGTTTTATCCTGAAGATGTTTATCCTTCCTGGATACCCTGTTTGGCTTAACAGCAGAGTTGTTAACTCTGGATTAACAGCCAGAGTTGTTGATCTGGTGGCTGCAGTAGGAAAGAAGATGAGTTGTTGATACTGTCTCGGTGAATCCCTTGAAAGGCTTGATGTTCCCATAGCAAACCTAAAAGGTAGCATCTAGCTTTCTGCTTTGCCAAAGCTGTAATTTCTGTTCTTCATTAGGCTTCTTTATTGCTCTTCTGTAGATCCAGCATAAAAGTTACTGACTTCACTGCTGGATCTTGCCTTCAATCATAACAGGCCATATGCGTAGTGATAAATCAGATTTGTCTTTGGGGTCTCTTCAGTTTCATGACAAATAAGGATGTAGGACATTATTGGGGGAGAGGATTAACTGGGAGGAAGAGAGGAGGTGTGTTAAGACTTCTGATTGAAGATGCTAACACTAAAACTAGCACAGGAGGAGTAACCACAGGAGGATGATATAAGGTGTGCAGCATCCACCTCAAATTATTGAGGTGATTCAGAAGCTCAGGCATTTCAGGGACATTTTCTAACAGAGCAGCTAATGTTCACTTGGCAGCAGCAAGTTTGTGTGAGAAGACAAAAAAAGGAGGTGGGAGCTGTAGGGTAGGAAACACAATCCTCTGTTAGTACTCTGAAAAGATACCAGTGCTTTTTGGGGCAAGAGCTGTAGAGACATGGCATTTATAGCATTCACTGTTAATTACAGAGAAACACAGCCTTCACTTTTTTACAGAGATTCTGCAACATTGGCTGTGTGGGATGCTAGGAAGGTTCACTTATCACTATTTTCATGTAGCTGGAGTGGAGAGAAGATTTATAATATGGCATCCTTCACTGTTCAACCCTGCATTGACTGTTTTCCTAGGAAATGGGTTCTCCCCTGGCTATCTTCTGATATTGTTTCCCACAGCCTGCAGCAGTGGTGCTAGAGCTCTGAGTGTGGTGAAAAAAGAAAAAGAAATAAGAAGAGAAAGAGGAAGAGGAAGAGAAAGGAAATTTCATTCAGCTTGGAGGACCAAAAAAAAGGTTGCTTGCGACCATTTTTATTTGTTTCAAGTCAATGAAGAATTCTTTTTCTGGTTCTCAGGCCCTGATGTGCTGATAAGGGGAAGATTCTGCTGCCCTTTCTCTATACTTCCAAGTGAACAAAACTGCACCTCCTGAAAGGCACAAATTGATATCTTTTGTGTGTCCTTGACAGGGATGACCCTTGCTCTAACACTACCTAGAGAGGTATCTGTGCAGCTTCTTGAGGGCTTTGACACATGCCCATGCTCATGCCCAGACAGAAATCTTCTATGAACTGAAGCCACATAGCTGGTCTGGCCCAGATGGACCAGTGTGAAATGGATTGTAGAGAAAATGAGAAAATCAAAATTTGCTATGCAAGGTTAATTCCAGGAACTCGGAATGATTGAGTTCCTGGAATTAATCACAGACAGTCATTCTCTTTCCTTGCATGAGCACCAAGTAGGCTGCTTGGTAGGTGCTTGTAGTCAGATCTCAAATCCACCAAATTTGCAAAGCAATATAGTAATACTGTGCTCGTACTAGTTTTTAAGAACCCAAGACAGTTCTGTGAAAAACAAATTCTTAAAATTGCTCAGTACCATTTCTTAAACAACTGAACCTTTTATTGAAAGTTTAAACAGTTTTGTACGATCTTAAACTGTGGTCATGTATCCCTGATATTCTGCATAATTTGTATAAGAGATGTTTCATTTGTCAGGAATCTGTAAATTAACCCTCATGTGCCTGTATTTTCCCATGATAAGGGAATCCTGAGCTGGCAGAGACGTATTGGATCATTTGCTCCATCTCCCAGCCAATATGGAACTGGTCCCAATAGTGCACTTGTGAATTTTACAGTGCAGTTCTAAAATTCTCAAGATGGGGTTCAAATCCCTCCTCTGAGAGAGACATTCTCCCTTATATTCAGGTCAGTCCTGTCCTGTTGGCTGTGTTGCCTCCACTCCTCTTCTTAGGACTGTAGCTCCTTGGTGTTGCCATATGCTACTGGGGTATATTGTAAGTAAGTAGTGCACTGGATTGTATTGTAGCACTAGTGCAAGAACTGATGGCTCAGACATTTGTAAAAAGTCGCTATGGACAAAACAGAGAGATGAGACTCCCGGTTCTTCTGCAAATGGTTTGTCCTTCCCTGTAAGAGATTGGCATGTTCGCAGTTTCCAGCTCTTTTACCTTGTTGATGTGGCTAGTGTCGTCCTGGCTGGTCTCCTCATCCTCTGAACTCTTCTGCTCTTCATCAGAAGTCATGACCTCCACAGGTATCGCAGAGACTGGGCACACCGTGTAGGGCTCAGTGTACGCGCTGCAGAGAGAACAGAACAGCTCGTGAGCACCGTTTCCATACACTTGCTATTGGCTCAGGTGTGACAAATCCACACATAGCACAGAGGTAGCTAGTTGGGGCAGGGGATCTTTGCAAGCCTGCTAGACTTGGAAAGCAGGTTTTACTTTTTTTTTTTCCCCCCCTTTTGCTGCCAAGTTTGCCTATAACCAAAAAAAAAAAAGGAGTCTTTAAAGAAAGCAGTGGGAAGTTTTTGTTCTTCCCCAAGATAACCTGTCAAAATGAATGTAATAAAATCACACTAACATCTCAGATATTGGAACTAGATTTTCTGGCAAAAATCATAAGGATGAGAACAATACAATTTTAATATCCAATGGCATCAGTTAAAGCATTAGAAAACTCAAAACTCTTGAATTGTTTCTAGAAGATTTGCATTTACTTCCAAAAAGCCAGAAGGACTGATGTGATGATAAAGCTGATGTGGATCTGGTATGTGATATAGGCCAGAGGCTTCGCAGAATTCATATTCTTTTAAGGAAAAAAAAAAAACACTTTTTAAAATAAAATGCTGGTGATTCCAAATCATCTGCAAGGTTTGACTGGAAATAGTTTCTGAAAGTGGAGGCTGCTCTTTGAGTTAGAAAATTGTCTGATGACTGATCTGATTTTGTCTAGCTGCAAATCCAGATAGTGGATCATGTCAAACTTATGTCTGCTGGAGTGGAGGCAGTCTTCCAAATTTCATTCTTTTGCAGGTACTCACAGGCTATATTCAGCTTATCTCTCGATCTTGGGGGTCTTATTCCAAGGTCTTGGAGTCTTAAAATGTGCCATGCTTCCTATAATTTAATCATTCAAAAATTTCTAAACTGAATGTTAATGAATTTATCAACCAGTTTTAGTACGAGGTTTACTATCAGCCAATTTTAGTTCATCTTTTGATACTGGAACACAACATTCAATTTTCCAGCGTTGGTAAAAGATGGACCAGATATGTAGGTGATAACACCCCTCTATTTCTGCACGGTTTTACTCTGCTATTACATTTAAAGTTCGGATTAGATTTTTTTAGATACACTATCATACGGGAGCTTATATAAAGCTGATTTATGATATTTACAGATTTCTAGGAATAGATTTCTGCATTTGGCCAGCCAGGCAAGTCTGTTTTTTTGAGAGACAGAGCCTGACATCTGCACATGTTAGACTATGCAGTTTGACTGATGAGCACGGTCTGTAACACTGACTTGCCTTCCTCAGTCTATACAGTTTCCTTAGTCCTCATTTCCCCATAAACATTATTAATTTGCTTTTGCACCTCTGCTTTGCATATTTTTCTTTAACCCTTTTCTTGTGGATCCCAACTGTCCACTAACTCAGAGCCGCAAAACCGGTGCTAGAGTGACGTGAGGCTGGGCACGGCGGGGGTTAATGTGGACAGGAGGGCAGTGAAGGCAGCGACTCCTCAGCCTGGTGACTGGACTCACATTCCCTTTTGGATAGGAAACTCCCTCCTTTTCTCCTTCCAAGCCACGGAGAGGACTCCTAACTCCACACAGGTGTGGTGGCCACCCTTGCTTTGCTGCACAGAGAGGAGCAGCTCCTGCTAGCCACCCACAGTGGCTGCGGTGGCTGGGCAAGGGGCTGAGCGGCCACGCTGTTCCTCACCATTGTTCTTCCCTTATTTGTTATTAGTGTCTACAGTTTTTCTGTGTGGGTGGCAGCACTTCCGAAACCCTGCCCAACTACAACAACAAAAGGGCCTCTGTGGATCAGCTCCACCCCTCACTTCCATGCTTTTATTGATGCTTATTACTTTATTATTGAGCACTTGTACAGATCCCATAACCCCGAAAGATATATGGCTCTAAAGCCAACCTCCCCACTGACCAGCAAGCCTCATGATGGAGTGTCATGGGTTGCTCATTTTAAAAGTCATGTTTTCCTGTGTTTTAGAAGGTGTTTCTAGATAAAATTACTTTGCTCTAAGAAACAGTTCTCCACTGGATCTCCAGCTTCCTAGCTGGTACACACATCCAGGTCTGTTCTCAGGCAGTGTTCAGCCTTTGGAATAATCCTCCTGAATTTCACCCTCTAACCTTTTCCCTTACTAATAGATCCAAACTCGCAGAGATCGGGTAGGAGGAGGGAGGGGAGGATGCATTACCACTGATTTACTAGGCTTTGGTTCAGGCAAACTCAAGCCTTTCCTCCAGTTCTGCATTCATCTTAAAACTCATCTTAGTTTGTTCTTGATTACTCTTTTGACCTCTTTGCTTAGTTCTTTTTCTCAACCACATTCAATCCTTTCTCTGTGCCTCGAAGATTCTTAATGCTAATGGAAATTTTTCTAATGAAAGAAAGTGTTAAAGCTGTCTGCCAAATGAAATCCTATTGCAAACAGCAAGCAATCTTTTAGATTGCTCTCTCCAAGAGCAGAAGAAAGTAAGCTGTCAGTACAGCAAGGAAATGGTGAGTAATACTCGCTCAAAACTGAAATTACATGATTTGTAATTGCATGGTCCACCTCTGCATGGTGGTGAGAACACCTGCTTATTCTCAGGACACATTATTGCACGTGGAAGTGTGATAACGTGGTGTCTGCCGTGCAAGTGATGGCAACTGTAGTAACTGTCTGGGTCTTTCGTGTAATATCAGTGTGCCGTTAGCCGAAAGCTCACTGGCACGAGTGGTGAGTAGACTGCGTGGGAGTCCTGTTTCACAGGACATTGCTTTTCCTGTTCGTGCACCCTGCTCTGTTTACTGCATCATTTGCCATCAACAGCCATACTCTGCATGGGGATCACAGCTCGTAAGAGCAAACAAAGAACTGTGCCTCAGCTCCCAGATAGATAGTTCAGGAAGTATCCTTTTCAGGGGAAAATTATATATATGACAAAAGTTGTAGACCTGCCACTAGAACCCCTTACAAGTTACTTCGCCTCATTAGCTGTGGCAAGAATAGAGATAATGGATTTTATCCTGTGTAAGATTAAAGATGTAAGGAAAGATCCCTGAAAAATGAAGTATTTTTCTATCTATTTCCCTTTATGGCTATCTAGATGTACGTTTTTCTATTTAATTCACCAGCAGTTCATGTGAGCTATCTACACAGTGATTGCACAGTGAGCTGCGCAGACTGAAATGAAAAGTGATTTAGAAGTAGCTGCTGAATGAGGAGGGAGGGAGATGTGAATAAAATATTATTTTCTGTTTTTGTAAATATTCTGGGCACAATTATAAGTGCATTCCTTCTGTAACCATTCATATTTGCCCCTGGCTATTTATGTTGGTCAAGAGCTGTTCTTTTTGCAGAGGATTACTTGTGCAACTCAAGAATTCTAAGCAGACAGAACCTTGTGAGGAACAATGAAAAAAGCTGAGAAACTGGGTTAAAGAAATGAATAACAAGACAGTAACACAGAAATAAGTGCTTTTAATATTCCTTTGGCAGAATTCAGACAGCAGATGGGTTTAAAACCCAGAGAATAATTGCCTTTTGAATGACTTTTCTGTCTGCATAGCAGTTCTTGTGTCCTGTTTCCTAGACCATACATAATACGACATGTAAGAAACTTATGTGAAAATCAAAAGTAGGGTTTTTCTAAACACTGCTCTTGTAGATGTTTTTTTCTAAACATAGAAGGTGTGATGCAACTGTCTTTCACATGTGCACAGATAACACACTCAGTCATTCTCTTCCCACTTAAAGTTGTATTTGATAGGAATGCTGCTGCCATGATATGAAGTCATGGGGTGCTAATTGCCTAGTGAAATGATTTTTTGCATTATTCTTTTTCTGGAAAAGCTGACCACTGAACATTGATATAGAAATGACTGCGATAATTCTTGTGGTCTTCATGACAAGGTGATGAAATAAATTGTCCCATAAAGGTGGCATATTGCAACACTGGTTTGTAGTAAAAAATTCAATTGCCATTATAATAGTAGGTTGATCAGACAGGAGTTCAAGGATATTTCAGGACAGAAATGACCTTATCCATATCTCAGATCTACAATACATTAAATCAAAGGGTTTACGCCTGCATCATGAACAACTCCTTTTATTGCTTTCTTCCAAAGATAAATGTGGTCTGGATCTGTCCAAAATTTGCTTGATCTGCAGTCCCAATTTTGTCAATATATTCCTAAGCCTTATAAAGCCAAAACAAACATCAATTGGCAACACACTCATTCAGTTTACTTGGTTTCAATGTTTAAGTCCAAATCCTTGTCTCTCAACATGATAAACTTTAGACTTGTGCGTAGCAGCCAGTTGTTTGTGGAAGAGACCGGTATCACAGATATATCCACATTACTAACCCCACTCAAGATCAGAATCATTTCTGGTTCAGACACAAGTTTTTCATGAATTGGAAGACTACTGTCTCTTTAAAACACTCTGCTACTTTATCCAGGTAGGTTGTATACTGCATTATCCAGCTAAGATGCATACCCGTAGACCTGCTGTGACCATGACTGGTATTTAATTTAGCCATTATTCTTCCATTTCATATGATAGAGGGGAGAACCAATCCCTGCCATATGGGTTCTGCCTGCTCAAGACAGCACCTAGATTACAGCTTTGGTTTCCTGCTAGCTGACACTGGTTTCTCAGAAACTCAGCACTTCCACATCATGATATCTCAACATATGTGATGGGGTAGAAGGGAGAAATGCCTTTCTGGGCTGCCAGATTGTTCTAGCTTGCTGGAGAAGGAACTGAATGGGAACATTTTGCTCAAAACTCTTGAACCTTGATGACTGCAGTGAAACGGAACAAAGATCTGAGTAAAATCTGAGATCTGGCAAAACTCAAACCAGTCCCAACTATTTTCTGTGAAAACAAGACATCATCACTTGAACTTTCTTCTCTCCACCTCTTCATCCCTTCATCCCACATGGAAATGCTTCCATTAATTTGGCTCCCAGAACTGCATAATCAAAGGGCATGTGTGTGCCATAGGACTTCTGGGTTTGCCCTTTCATTCATAAGAGTTCCCGAGCTCCTGTGTCAC